CCAGTGCCCACCCCGGGCTGGCACTCGGCCGCTCGCCCCCGTCCCCGCGGCCCCTCGGCACTGACCAGGTCTACCAGCTCCTGATAGCAGACCTGCCCCTCGTCGTTGCCCTGTGCCAGGGCCACCAGCATGTCGAGCTTGGCGGGGTCCAGGGGCAGCTCATGGCTGTGCACCAGGCTGGCAAACGTCTCCACCCCGATGAAGCCGGTGTTTTCGGGGTCGAGCTGTGGGGCATGTCAGGGGCATTACTGGGATGCCAGGGCTTCGACTCTGGGGTTGGCTGGGGAGACCACCCGGTGCCCCTCACCGTGGCCTTGTGCTGCTCCATAACACCAGTCTCTGCCTGTGTCAGGGGCACTACAACCTGCCCCCCCTCCAGACCCCGCACCACGCGGGTGCCCCGTGCCGTGCCGGTGTCCCCATCTCCCCGCGGAGCAGCCAGCACTCTCCTACTCAGTTATTTCTTGCCGCCAGCAGCCTGCCAGCCAGGAAGCCACCAAGCTAAACACACGCGCAGCCCTGGCACCAGCCTCCTCCTCCTCCTTCTCCACCTCCTCCTCCTCCTCTACCTCCTCCTCCTCCTCCTCCCCTGCTCCTCCCGTCGCCCTTGCCACTGGGATTCACCACACCCTGTGCCGGGGCACCCTCTGCCATCCTCGGGGCTCCCGGAGTGAATTGGGCACCCTGAGCCCTCCAGGCACAGCGCACCACGAGGTACCCAGCACCACGGGGTACCCGATGTGGTCCTGTTCATGGAGACAAGGAGCCCAGGATGGAACAAGGAGGATGGAGATTGGGAGGGGGTACCCATGGTTGGAGCACAGGGTGGCTGGGACCCTGAACCCCACAATGCCCCTGAAATTGTGTTAGGTTTGCTCCTTGCTTATGTGGGGAATGAAACAGAGGAGAGGAACCTCGTCCTCATGGGATGGGCAGGAAGGGGAATGCTGGGGGAATGGGGTCACATCCACACCAAGGGGGACACCCTGCACCTCCAGCACCATCAGGGAACAGCCACAGCTTCTTTCCCAAGAAGGGTTTGGCTGCCCCAGAGCAGGGGGCAGGGGTGGGACACATGGAGTGGGATGCAGGGTGGGATGTGTGAGGTGCAGGGTGTAGGATACAGGTGCAGGCAGCACTTGCATCCTCAGAGAAGCCACCAGCCCATGAGAGCAGCCCCAGCCGTCGGGATTTGGGAGCGTCCTGTCCCCTCTGCCCCACACACGTCCCCCACAGGTGCCACGTGTGTGTGTGTCATGCTGAGACCTGGCACACGCTGTCCCCAT